CTTGTCCTGCAGTCCCATCCAACCCCGGCTGTGCCTTTCTCAACCTGCCCATTCGTCTGCTGCCCCATCTCCCAGTCTCAGAAGCCAGCCTCCCTCCTTCTTCCTGGAACAGCCAGTCTGCTGACTTTCACATCGATCCATCCCATCGCATCCTGAGCAATACTAATAGGTTCCCCAGGTCCCCTCTCAGCCTTGGACTTGGCAGCTAGACCCGCTGCTGGGCTAAGGGACCCACAGGATACGGGGTTCAGGGTGGAGCTGGAGGGGAAGCTGGGGAGAGAGCAGCTTTGAACCCTTCTGGTGGCAGCTGCCTTTGACAAATGCCTTAGTTCCATTAAGAGGTTCCTAGTGGCACAGATGGTAAAGAATCTGCTTGCAGTGCAGGAGACCCAGATTCCATCCCTCGGTCGGGAAGATCCCCTGGAGGAGGGCATGGCTACCCACTCCAGTATTCTTTCCTGGAGAATCCCATGGACAGAGGAGCCTGGCAGGCTACAGTCCATGTGATCGCAAAGAGTCGGACATGACTGAGTGACTAACACACTACACTTGGTTCCATTAAACAGGTAGAGGTAAGGTAAACAACAATTGGAAATGGCAGACTGTACTGAAAAACTCCTGACATGCTTAATGTAACTAAACCACCCTTCCTCTTCTGCAGATGTTTTCCACTTCCTAGAATTTAAAAAAAAAAAAAAAAGGATCCTTTTCTAATTCATAAAGAATCTCTGGGCTAGAAAGGCACCAACATCTTTGTAGTTCAACTTTCCAACCACTGATTTAATTTCCTCTACAACCATCCTCAAGTGGGGCTTCAGTCTTTCCTTGATTACCTCTAGCCATGGGGAAGTCGCTCCCTCACGATGTAGGCCACTGTCTCTTTAGAGAGCTCCAGCAGAGTTTCTTCCTTACATTGAGCCAAGTGCAGCCCCCTGTGACTTCCATCCATTCACTGTTCCTGGGGGTAGTCCTTGACTATAAGTCCAGAGCAAGCCTGTCTTGTGACAGCCCCTTCCCTCTGCCTCAGGCCAGGCACCCCTTCCTTCAGCGGCTCCTCAAGGGACATGGTGTCTGCTCCCACCCGGCACTGCTTCTCCCTTGGCTTCTCAGGAGGGAGTCTCCTGTCTCACAGTCTCCACTCGTTCCACCAGCAAGCACCGTGCACCCTGCCTCTCACTGGGGCTGAGCTGCGGAGTCTGAAATAGGATCCCTACCCAACGCTGTGAAATAATTAGACTACATGTTATCTGTTGTAATATATGCATATACGCGTAAGCATATGCTATCAAATGTTTCTTATGGTTTATAACCAAGGGCTGTATCCTGCGAATTGGATAATAAATCCTGAACGAGTTGGAAGAAGAGAGAAGGGGAAGGTGGGGGCTGGAGATCGAAGAGAGGGTTTTGGGGGGAGGGGACGGGGTGAAGGACAGTTAGGATGTGAAGTAGTGGGGGAGGGTGGATGAAAACCAGCTTCGTGAGGCACCTTCCAGGTGACAGTCACCGATCTGCTCACTTGACTCCCCCTGTAAGGTAGTCATTTCCCATACCCCACGGATGGGCACACACAGAGGGGCAGGGGGCAGAGGGAGTGGCGCCTACCCGCTAACCTGGTGGTGCCGGAGCTGGGATTCGAGGCAGCTGACCTTGTGCTCTTCTTGCTACTGCAAGCTCGGCGCAGCCTGGGAAGGGAAGGGACTCCTAGGAGATGCTGGGGGAGGTGGCGGACCTCCCAGGGACTCGCCGCCCTTCTCCCCTGCCTCCGGGCAAACAGTGTTGGATGAGATGCTGCTTCTTGTTTAAAGGGCAGCGGGGTGGGGCCCGTGGGCATTGATGGGAGCAGGGTCCCCGGTTTTCCTGGCCCCTAGGGGCCCTTTTTCCCCCGGGAGCTCAGTGCACGTGCCGGCCTTCAAAGGATGCAGGGTCCCTGGGCTGCCTTTCCAGGCTGCTCCGCGCCGTGTGCAACGGTACTGTCGCTCCCCAGGCTTCCGTCTCGTCCTGCTGAGTTTCATCACCCATCTGAAGGATCCCAGGGCATTTGGCCTCTCTCCCAGTTGAACTCCAAAGGTTCTCCCTGCTGCACTCCAGGCCCAGTGGGGAGTTTACCCTTACTACCCCTCCCTTGCTCCTACCTCCAGCTGCTCCCCTGAAGCGTGTCCTGAGGACAAATCTTCCCTTGAGCCAAGGAGCTGGCCAAGACTCCAGCAGCCTTTTGATCAGGTACTCAGACCTTTGTCTCAGCGCAATTTTGCTTTTCACAACATCTCTGTGATGATGTGAATATGCTTTGCATTTTACTTATAGGATGAAATGCAGTTGCCCCATAGAAACCAGATTTTTAGGCCACCAAACAAAATAGGGATACGATTTGGGGCTTTTAAAAAAATTTTATTGGAATATAGTTGATTTCCAATGTTGTGTTAGTTTCAGGGGTATAGTAAAGTGGATGATATATACATATCTATATGGTCATTCTTCTTTTAGATTCTTTCCCCATATAGGTCTTTATAGAGTATTGAGTGGAGTTCCCCATGCTGTACTGTAGGTCCTTATTATCTATTTTATACACAGTACTGGGGATATGATTTGAACTTTGCTATACACTTAGCTGGGGCTTCCCAAGGTGGCACTAGTGATAAAGAACCCACCTGCCAGTGCAAGAGACATAAGAGATGTGGGTTCGATCCCTGGGTTGGGAAGATCCCCTGAAGAAGGGCATGCCCACCCACTCCAGTGTTCTTGCTTAGAGAGCCCCATGGACAGGGGAACCTGGCGGGCTATGGTCCACAGGGTAGCGTTGGACTGCAAAGAGTTGGACACAACTGAGTGACTGAGCATGCAGGCACACACTTAGCTACCAGTTCCTGGCCTCTGAGACCCTGGAGGGCAGGGTCTGTACCTGACCCATCTTCTCTGCTGGTGTCTTGTCAGCCCAGTGCCTGGCACTAGGACAGTGAGTGTTGGATGAACAGACGAGTACCTTCTCCCTCTTCTTCTGCCTCACTAAGCCGCCATTCCTGACCTTTGTGTTCTCATGGGAATGAGTAGATACAAGAGAAGCAATGTGGATTCCATGCATGCCAGCTCCCAGCCTGCCTTCACATAGGATCTCAGTGAGTTCTCACCTGTTATGCCCGTTTTGCAGATGAAGATTGAGACTTGAAGAGGTTAGACGGTTCTCAAGGTCACACAGCTAGCGACAGTTGACCCTGAGCTTGAATCCAGATCTGCATCCAAGTTGGCAGGAAGAGCCCCGGCAGCTTTGGTGCCCTTCTGGATGGAGGGTGGTGGTGTGGAGCCGTGAGGGCCACAGACAGCAGCAGGGGGTCTAACAAGCCTCCGCTGAGGCCTGTTTGGAAAGGAAGGGAAAACCAACTCGACTCTGGGCTTGCACAGCCTGTGTTTCTGAAACCTCTTTGTGAAGGACAGGCCTTCTAGGGGCTTCTCCACCCCTACTGCGGCCCCTCGTTCCTTGGGCCACCTTTTCAGGACCCAGGATGGGGGTGGGAGTTAGGGATTGGCCCCACCTTCCAGGGCTCTGGTCTCCATGACGCCAGACCCACCCTGCTCCCTAGCTCCCTCCACCCTGCTCCCTCTCCCTTCACACAGCACACCGAGGCTTTCGCCCCCAAGTCCTGAGACATGTGCACCCACGCCTCCCGGGGTTCTGTGCCTGCTGCTCCTGGTGTGTCTTATCCTAAGAGGAAGTCTGGACTCAGGGAAGAGGACGGGATGGAGACAAGGAAATGGGAATTCTGGTCCCAGCTCTTTTCCTGGGCACATCCTGTCATTTCTCTACAAAATGAGGAAGGTGGTACAATGCTCTGTATTTTTTTTTCTTTAATATTTATTTACTTGGCTGTGCTGGGTCTTCGTTATGGCACTGGGGATCTCTGATCTTTGTTGCAGCATGTAGGACCTTTGATTGCAGCTTGCGAATCCTTAGTTGCAGCAAATGAGATCTAGTTCTCCAGCCAGGGAGGGAACCCAGGCCCCCTGCACTGGGAGTGTGGAATCTTAGCCACTGGACCACCAAGGAAGTCCCTACAACGCTCTTCAGATGGCCCCTTATCTTACCTTTTGGTCCTCAAGGATCAGGAGGGGGTTCAACCTGCACAGGGAAGAGGCTTCTTCAGAGTCACATTCATGACCTCCCTGCATTTAATATTCCTTTAACCAGTGCAGACACCAGAGCACCAGGCTCTTTGACTGGTTAGAGAGCATCCCTCCCCGGGCCATCCACTGTGTGTGGTGACAGTGTCTGGAGAGTTCCTCCTCTCGTGCCTCCTGCTCGCCTCTGTGCTATGGGATTGGAATACTCTGTACAATCTTGGGAGGACTTAAATGAGATGAGCCGTTAAAATGTTTAGCCCATTACCTGGAATGCAATAAGAATTCAATGAATGTTACTCTTGTCATTGATTGGCTTTGGGGAGCAGATGCCTGTAGGTCTCTTTCCATTGGAATTGGGACCACTGCCTTCCCAGGAGACCCCTACCTATGCACACACCCTCCTCCTGGCCTGCTTTTTCAGAGATGTCGTTTAAGACCCATGTGTCTTGGTGACATCCATCTGCAATCCCTTCTCCCACATGCTCGGCAGCGAATAGCAAGGGCCGGGCAGAGTCCTTAGCTCAGGATCCCCAGTTGTTCTGGGTCCACCTGACTGCCTGCTGGGGTGCAGTTCAAAACCTGTTCTTTCATAATCATAACAATACCTTGTCTCAGAGCAGCTCCTGTGCTCTGAGGAGTTCAAAGCGTTTTGCTAGATCTGTTTTTTGGGCCTTGTGACCTGGAGGGAACTGCTCCCTGACCTCCACCATGGAAATAAAAGCTGGATGTAACATTTATGAGGGTTCACCATGTGCAATGCTACAGCTTAACCACTTGATGCCAGACCCAGGACCCTGCTTCCCTCCTGAGTTTTCTGGCTTTGGCTCCCCTGTCTCCCGAGGCAGCACCATGGACCCTCAGGAGCTTCGTCCTCTCTTCCCCTCCAGGCCTTTTAAACCTAGAGAAGCTCCTCCGGCAATTCCTTATCTCCAAGGACACACTCTCGGTCCGGATGCTGGATGACGCCAGGGACCCCACCCCGCTCCTCAAGGAGATCCGGGACGACAAGACCGCCACCATCATCATCCATGCCAACGCCTCCATGTCCCACACCATCCTCCTGAAGGTGGGCGCCGGGCCGGGCGGGTGCTGGTGGGTGCCGAGCATCCCCCTGCCTCTGAGCTGACACTCTGCTCCCTTCTTGCCCTGGGTGTCCCCCCGGGCAGATGTTGAAGGAGCCCTGGACTAGACATCTGACCCCGACGTGTGCTTCAGTTTCAGTGAACAGCTCCTGAAAGCTAAGGGGGAGAAGTAGGATGATGCAACGTCACAGCATTTAACTCTCCGTGCAACAGGGCTGAGACATTGGCCACACCTAGATCTGCCAGGGGCTCTGTGGTCCAGGGGTTCCTAGCAGGGGCAAGCGGTCTACTTGGGGGCTGAGGCTATTTGCCAAGCCAAGTAGAGGCATCTCCATATTCTGACAGCCAGGGCTGTCTCATCCGTGTGTATTATTGAATACCAGCCCTGAGTGTAATCTTTACACGTGTTCTATCGTTTACCGAGTGCTGCCGTGCCATTTTTCAATGTAATCCTCTCCGTGACCACACGAGGTGGACATGATAGCATCCGGAAGAAGCTGAGAGTCTGAGAGATGAGCAGCTTTGTCCAAGGCCAGCCCTGTGAGGAGCAGCGCAGAGCCTGCCTCAATTCTCTTCTCAGGAAATCAGTCCATTTCTCCCCCGCTCCCCACTCCCTCCTGGGGACACAGACACCAGCCCCTGAATCAATGTATACACATGGAAACTGGCACTCTCTGAGGGAGGCCTATCCAAGAGAGGGAGACAGAGGCAGAGACACACACAGACAGAGACAGAGGCAGAGACACACACAGAGACAGAGACAGAGGCAGAGACACACACAGAGACAGAGACAGAGGCAGAGACACACACAGAGACAGAGACAGGGAGAAGAGCCAGTGCCTGGGGGTCCATGCTGGACAAACAGCTTCGATCATCTGGGCGTCCTTGGGCCCACTGGGACTGTGTCCGGGGCTGGCGTCTGGGCTAAGCAAGCAACCCAGACAGAGTGGACCCTGCCAGGCTCCGCCCTGGCTCCAACAGCAGCCCCAGCCTCTCTGGGCTCATGGTCTCCTCTAGTGCCGTTTTAATTGCACATTTAAGTGCAGCCCAACGTCTTCCACTGGGGGAGTGAGGTTCCTCATTAACCTCGGCAGGGCTGCAAGGAGCCCAGCAGACACAGGATGATTCTCTCTTCCTCTCCCTCCCTTGCTGCCTCCTCGCCTCCCACCCCAGTTAGTTTTGTCTCAGAATTAATAAGAGATTTGAATGAAATTTCTCTGAGTACTGAGGGCCGTCCCTTCAGCCTGTTGCTATAGTAATTTTCTGCAGCTCCAAACCCACGTCTGTCTGTGTGGGTATACCCAACTCACAAACACACACTCCAACACACAGTTTTTCTCTTTCTCTTTCTTCTCTTGTGTCCGGAGCTGTGATCAATGAAGGAAGGATCAAGGATGGAAGAGCTCCTTTAAGTTTCAGGGCATGGGAGATGAAGGCTGAGGAGTTCTCAGGAGGGTGGGGAGGACTGAGGAGTAGGGAGCAAGATAGATGTCCCTCAGTCCCCCTGCCAAGGGCAGATCAGAATGTGTTTCCCCTGCAGTAGCTGATTCCTGCCTGGACAGCCCCCAGGTGGAAGCCTTTGGGGGTCAGTCCTTGCCCAGGAATATTTCCAGGCTCCCAACATATGTGGTTGCCTCCCTCCCTTTTAAAAAATATGTCTAGTTCATTGTTGAAATCTCAGAAAGTACAGAAAAGCCCATAGGAAAAAAATAAAAATCATTCACAATTTCATCACCGAGAGAGAACCACTATGAAATTTTGATATCTAGTCTTTCTGCCCTTAGAGACACATTATTTTTTCCTTTTAAAAAATTATTACACCCGCACATACTCTTCTGGAACCGTTTTTTTTTTTTTTTTTTCAACTTAATTATACGCCATGCATTTTTTTCTCATGTCATGACATATTTTTCTACAAATATTTAAATGACTGCATCATTTCTTATCATATGGATGTACCATAATTTATTTAACCATCTCTTTATTGTTGAGAGATACAGGTTGTTTTCAATCTTTGCTGTAATAAATAATGCTGGAATGCACATCTTTGTACATAAATCTTTATGCACATTCATGAATATTTTCAGAGCATAAATTTCTAGGAGTGGAATTACTGAGTTAAAGGTATGCATGCTTTTAAGGATTTTGATATGATTTGCCAGCTTGCCTTTTTAGAAAGTCTGTAAGGATTTACACTCCCACCAGTGGCGTATAGGTGTCTTATAGCACCCTTGCCAGTACTGGGTATTTTCATTAAAAACGCTTTTAATTTCTTTTTTATGGCTGTGCATTTGAAAGAAATTCCCTTATAATGACTATTATTAGCAAATGGTTCTGCTGGGTGGCCAGTAGCAGGCTTTCCTGAGGTCATCAGTCAGCCCCAGCCCATGTAACCTTGGAACCAAACTCATCAATGAGCAGTGAGGTTTTGGGAAAGTTTGTCCCCATTTGAATTCCTAGAAGCCCCAGCAGGCTGACCTTGTATCCATCCTGGACTCAATCCCCATGTTTCCCTGAAGCTCCAGGCTCCTCCTTCATGAGGTTACAACCCGGCCTTGAGGGAAGATAGACTCAGCGTGGGAAGCAGTACAATCAGAGGGCGCCCGGAGCTTCTGGGAGTCTTGCTGTGCACTCATGAGCCTGGCCTCGGAGCTTGGCAGCACTCCACTGTCTCTTGATTTCAGGAGGATTTTCAGAGTAATCCCCTACTTTATTGAGCGGCTGTTCCAGCAACGAATTCCGTGTTTACCCAGAATTCAGGTCTTAAAAACCAAGGATCTCTTCTTGTGTTTTATCTTTAGGACAGCAGATTTCACAAAGTGGGTTTTAACCATCCAACAGTGCCCTTTCTCAGCCCCCTGCCCCCAACCCATCCCTGGAACCAGGGGGCTCCCATCAGCCTAGGCATTGGTGAGAGGCAAGGGCATTATTATATGAATAGTTTGAGGGGTGGGTGAAGAGGTGGAGGTGAGGACCATGCCCTCCTCCCCAGAAGTGGAGGCATCACTGTAACTTTGCTAGAGGAAGGAGAGGCCTTGAGCTCCATCATGACCCCTTGTAATCTTGCCCCAGTTGCCTCAATTTCTTATAGGGATGGTGGTGATATATTGGGCTGGCCAAAAAGTTTGTCTGGGTTTTTCTGTAACTTGGAAAACCTGAACAAACTTTTCGGCCAACCAACCTAATAATTACCCCAGCCTGTCCTTCAAGGAGCCTGTGAGAATGCTCACACAGTTATTGGAATCCCTGGGGAGATAAACACAATATAAAGGGAGAAGGCAATCATCCCTGTCTTTGTTTACTGCCCCCCACACCCCCATGCACCTCAACAGTCATGACAAAAGTAGTTTCCTAGTGGCCCAGGGCTGCAGGCTCCGTGATGAAGATCTAACCGACTGTCAGGAGGGATGGGGGCCCTGGGGAGAGTTGGGCTCATTATTTCCATGATCTCCTTGTCGGCTTCTATAGCACCTGTCACGCTCCAAGCCAGGCACATGGCACGGAAGGTTGCTTATAGAGGTATTTATGATGCTGCAAAGATCAGACAAAAGGAGGCCCATCTGATCTGGCAGCTCCCAACCGTGGGCTGAGGCTCCCTGGTGCACCATCAGCAAGGGTACATCACAAACAACTTGCTCCTCACTACGAACAGAGGACCACAGTATGCAATGAGTCACCTCTTTCCAGCATCACCGCAGACTGAAGAATATGCCTATGAGGCATACTCACTCTCACCCTGACGAGGGTGGAGTTAATTTGGGAATTGCCTACAAGCCACCACTTTCCTGTCCATGCCTTGGCTCCTAAGAGAAGTGTGTCAGCAATTCCATCAATATCATAGTTCTCCAAGGGGAGTGTTAGGCTTCCTGGCTTTAATTTCATCTTTTCTGTGTATGAGACGTGTGATCTCCTGGACAAGCTACACAGCCTTTGGTGCTTCAGTTTCCTCAGCTGTAAAAGGAGCTGGGAGTGGTGGACGAGTAATAGTGAACCCAAGCCAAATGCTGTCCGGTGCTCGCTGCGGACTAAACAGGGAGTCAGTATTAGCCATCGGTATTGTTAATGGTTGTGGAAATTATTCTTATAGTCTTTTGTTATTTGTTTCATTTCCCGGAAAGTCACTTTGGTTTCCATAATCCCCAGTTATATCCGTAGGAATGTGTACACATCAGAATATCAGGTACCATGAGTGTCACTGCAGGGGTGGGGGCGTGGGCTAGAGGGAGAGAGACCCTACTCTAGAGGCCAGGGTTTCTGTGCTCCATCCTCCAAGGTTGAGGGTGGTGTAGGAACCAATCAGTCAAGACGTTCTACTCTGCCGGTGGGGAGCCAGACCAGGGGCAGACACTTGGAGCCCTCCCTAGTCATGCACTTCCAGTGGGTTTTTTATTTTCTGCTCTAATCTCCTTCTCTTCCCTTTGCAGGCAGCGGAACTAGGGATGGTGTCAGCCTATTACACATACATCTTCACTAATCTGGTAAGACATTTTCACAGCTCACCTCTTTGGCATAGAGAGTATCATTAATTAGGGTCAGTGGGGTGTGACAGAATGAAGCCCTGGAGATGGGCAGTAGGGCAAATGGAACAGAGGAGCAGACGCCAGCCAGAGAAGCAGGGCATTTGAAACATGGAAACCTAGGAGCCCTAGGACTCTTTTCCTAACAATTCTTAGCCTAGAAGAATCTAATACCTCCACTCAGATACCGCAGCTGACCCCTCTGATGGTTGCGTCTCCTCTATAGGTCCAGTTACAGGCTGGCAGTCCAGCTGCTACGTTGCCAGACCCTTATGCTGGCTGGCTTAGAATTAGGAACACTAGAGCACAAAAATTACGCCTGTCCTAGGTGAAAGGTGTTATAACTGATACACCTTCAGGGACCGTTTTTTTCAAATTCCCTTCTTTTGCAGCCTAGAAGACAGACCTATAGAAATTTTATTGAGTCAAGTTGGAGCTCTAGTTTTGCCACATACCAGCTGTGTGCCCCTTAAACAAGCACTGAGCCTTGCTTCCTTGTCTGTAAAATGGGTATTAGGACAGCTACGTTGTGGAATTGCTATCATTTTGAAATGATGTAGTTTAACCTGTGTATATTTTGACATTGTAAAGCATTAAGACATGTGAAACGTTGTGAAATATACACATTCTCAATTACTCAGTAGAAAGAACCTCAGAGGACAGGTTTAAAAACATAACTTTTTATTTTGAGATAATTATAGATTCACAGAAAGTCACCAAGATAATACAGAGGGGTACCATGTAACTTTAACCCAGTTTTCTGCAGTGGCTATATCTTACGTTATTACAGTACAATGTCAAAACCAGGATATCAAAATACCAAGTCTGTTAAGACATATGTAGATGTGTGTAACTCCTACTATAATCAGGAAAAAAAACATTTCATTACCACAGAGATCTCGCTGCTACTTTATAGTCACATCCACGTTCCTTCTTCCCACCAGCCCTAATCTCTAATAACTGCTAATCTGTTCTCTATTTCTAACTTTTGTTGTTGTTGTTGTTCTGTTGCTAAGTTGTGTTTGAAATCTTTGCGACCCCATGGACTGCAGCATGCCAGTTTCCCTTGTCCTTCACTATCTCCCAGAGTTTGCACAAACTCATGTCCATTGAGTCAGTGATGCTATCTAACCATTTCATCCTCTGCCGCCCCCTTCTCCTTTTGCCTACAATCTTTCCCGGCATCAAGGTCTTTACTGATGAGTTGGCTCTTCGCATCAGGTAGCCAAACTATTGAAGCTTCAGCTTCAGCAACAGTCTTTTCAATGAATATTCAGGGTTGATTTCCTTTAAGACTGACAGGTTTGATCTCCTTGCAGTCCAAGGACTCTCCAGAGTCTTCTCCAGCACCACAGTTTGAAAGCATCGATTCTTCAGTGCTCTGCCTTCTTTAGGGTCCAGCTCTCACATCTGTTCATGACTACTGGAAATACCGTAGCTTTGCCTAACTTTTCTACTGTTATGTAAATAGAATCATGAGTAGATGACCTTTGAGGTTAAATTTTTTTCACTCAGTGTATTGCCCTCAGGATCCATCAAAGTTTTATGAATCAATAGTTTGCCCTTTATTTTTGCTGAGTCATATTTCTTGCTGTGGATGTACCTGTTTACTTAATCATCTACCTATAGAGAGACATTTTAGTTGTTTCCAGTTTGGGGCTATTACAGGTAGAGCTGTTATAAACAGTCATTCAGAGAAGAGGTTTAATTATTATGTTTATTTATTTCATAAATGCATGAGATATCCAAATCATTTAAGTATCCCCTTTATCCAGATATACTTTTTAAAATGTTTTTTAAAAAGTATGTTGAGTCTTTGTTCCTGCAGGGACTTTCTCTAGTTGGTGGTGAGCGGATGGGGTCTTGGGCACTTGGGTTTTCAGTAGCTGCGGCACACAGGCTTAGTTGTGGAATTTTCCTGGACCAGGGATTGAACCTATGTCCCCTGCATTGGCAGCAAATTCTGGGAAGTCCCTATCCAGACGTACTTCTGATGTAACAGGCCCTGAGCCAGGCATTAGACATTAAAATGGGAGTAAGAAACCAAGCTGGCCCAGCAAAAATGTATTGCAAACTGTCATATTGCAAAGTGGCAAATTCCATGAGATGTGGACACAAAATGCTTTAGACCCTAGAGCAGGGGCCACTCGCTCTACCCGGGGCAGGTAGGAAATGCTTCACAGAAGAAAAGGTCTTTAAGCTACATCCTGAAAGAGAAGTAGACTTTTTCCTAGACAAACAAAGAACAGAATAACATTTGGGAATAAGGAACAGCATGCTCACATACCTGGAGATTTGAGTCCCTTCACACATACGGACTGCTCCAAGAACGGGTGTGCCAGTGCATTATTACTCATTTGTCTATTTATAGCCATTTGTGAAAGTAACCTTCTTAAAAGATATAAGGCAGGTAACATAAAATGAATAATAATGAACTGGCACACCCATTCCTGGAGCAGCCCATATGTTAGAAGGGACTCAAATCTCCAGGTATGTGAATATGCTGTTCCTTATTCCCAGTGCCAGTGCAGGAGACATAAGAGATGTGGGTTCAGTCCTTGGATCTGGAAGATCCCCTGGAGGAGGACACAGCAACCCACTCCAGTATTCTTACCTGGAGAATCCCATGGACAGAGGAGCCTGGAGGGGGCGGGTTACAGCCCATAGGGTCGCCAAGAGTCAGACACGACGGAAGCGACTTAGCACACACACAGGTGTCAATGAACCACAAGAGCCTTGCTGTATTTAGGAAGCAGAATTCAACCTCGCAGATTTGAGTCTAGAATCTGAAAATGGAAAAGGTTACCTGGGAGTTAAGACTTTCTTGGCCCACACAGGTGGTAGGGTAAACTAGGGGTCATGCGGTGTCCCTTCTGGGATTTAGGGGCCAGGGCCAGGTCTCCTGAAATATCCTGCAAAGGTGAGGAGGGGGCTGCCCAAAGAGCCAGGCTGGGATCCTGCCGTCCCTGTTCATCTCTAGTGGCAGTTTTGTGAACAGCCCTTTCTTGGGGCTTCTGTGGCATTGTTCACCCTGAAGCATCCTATAGGTCTTTGCTGTCAGAGTTGAAAGCCCCCTTGAAGAATCCTGTGTAGCTTCTCTTCTGGTGTAGGGACTCCCTCCACAGCAGGCTTGCCAAAAAGTCATTCAGCTGTCTGTTGCCTGGTACGCCCCCACCACAGGCCTGCCAGTTCCATTGTTGGAATTTTTAACTGAGGTCTAACCTACAGATAGAAGGCCACACAGATCACAGGTGAGCAGCTGAACGAACGTTCTCCAAGTGAGCACACCTGCGTAAGCAACACCTAGATCCAGAAATAGAATGTTGCCAGCACCCCCAGAAGTCCCCTGCATGCCCCCTCCCAGTCACTGCCCCTCAGAATATAAAGCAGAAGGAACTGCTTTGTTGGCGTGTTTATTTTATTTATTTTTTTCTATCTCACACTGCTGCTGTAAATCAGGGCATTAACATGAAAAAGGAAAGAAAAGGATTAGACTATTCCCAGAGTGATGCGAAAGCATTTGCCTGAAGTAAGGAGACATTTGGGGGAGCCCAGCAAGTTGGCAGAAGAATAAGGACAGATTAAACTCCATCTGTGTTTCATTTGGGGAGCCTGGGAAGCAGAGGGGACGAGGGGGAGAAGGCAGGCCAGGGGCCACCTGCCTTGGGCCAGCCTGCCCCCACGTTAGGCTGACAGGGTAGCCGAAGAGGAGGGAGTGGGGCAGCTAGGACTCACAGAAGTGTTTTTGCAGATAGAAGGAGGCTAGTCGTTTGAAAGATGAATTCCCAGGATGATAATGAGACTAAGGCGAGGTTGCTTGGCTTGAAGATGTTTAAGAAAGCCTCACGGAGGCTTCCCCGGTGACTCAGTGATCAAGAATCTGCCTGCCCATGCAGGAGACATAGGTTCCATCCCTGATCCAGAAAGATCCCACATGCCATGGAGCAACTAAGTCTAAGCCTAATGAGCCTGTGCTTTAGAGCCCAGGAACCACAACTACTGAAGCCCAAGTGCCTAAAGCCCATGTTCTGCAAGAAGAGAAGCCATCGCAATGAGAAGCCCTCACATTGCAACTAGGCAGTAGTCCCCATTCGCTGCAATTAGAGAAAAGTCCACACACGGTGATGAAGACCCAGCAGAGCCAAATAGAAATAAATAAAATTATATACAAAAAAGAAGGCATCACAGGACTTCCCTGGCATTCAGTGATTAAGACTTCACTTTCGAAGGCAACGGTGCAGGTTCAGTCCCTGCTTAGGGAAGTAAGATCCCACATGCTTCGTGGCCAAGAACACCCTTCATAAAACAAAAGCAATATTGTTGTTCAGTCACTAAGTCACATCAACTCTTTTTGACCCCATGGACTGCAGCCCACCAGGCTTCCGTGTCCTTCACCATCTCTCAGAGTTTGCTCACACTCATGTCCATTGAGTCAGTGATGCCATCCACCCATCTCATCCTTTGCAACCCCCTTCTCCTCTTGCCCTCAATCTTTCCCAGCATTAGGGTCTTTTCCACTAAGTCGGCTCTTCCCATCAGGTGGCCAAAGTATTGGAGCATCAGCTTCAGCATCAGTCCTTCTGATGAATATTCAGGGTTGATTTCCTTTAGGACTGATTGATTTGATCTCCTTGCAGTCCAAGGGACTCTCAAGAGTCTTCTTCAGAACCACAGTTTGAAAGCATCAATTCTTCAGCACTCAGTCTTCTTGATGGTCCAACTCTCACATCTGTACCTGACTACTGGAAAGATTGTAGCTTTGACCATACAGACCTTTGTTAGCAAAGTGATGTCTTAGGCTTTTTAATACACTGTCCGGGTTTGTCATAGGTTTTCTTCCAAGGAGCAAGCGTCTTTTAATTTCATGGCTGCAGTCACCCTCTGCAGTGATTTTGGAGCCCAAGAAAATAAAACCTGTCACTGTTTCCACTTTTTGTGACAAAATGGGAGAAGGCGAGGGG